CCTTGGCTCACTGCATCCTTCCGCCTCCTGGTTCAAGTGACTCTCCTGCCTCAGGCCTCGACGTAACTGGGATTACAGGAATGCGCCACCAGGCCCGGCTAATTTTTGGTATTTTTAATAGAGATGGCGTTTGACATGTTGGGCAGCTTGGTCTCCAACTCCTGACCTCACAGTGATCCGAGCCCGCCTTGCCTCCCAAATGCTGAGATTACATGAGTAAGCGCAAATACGCCCAGCTTGTTTCTCTTTATATGTATTTATTGTATTTATTGTAGAGACAGGAGTCTCACCTCGCCCAGGCTGGAAGTGCCAGTGGCATGATTCTGCAGCTCACTGCAACCTCGCCTCCTGGGCTTTCAAGCCATATCTTCCTGCCTCACGTGGAGTAAGCTTCCGCGCCGCATTAAAGTTACCGTGCACCCGCGTGAACGTAGGGCCATCTCAACACTGTAGTGAAAAAAATAAATCAAAACATTGCCAAAGTTTTCTCAATGTTTCCGGGATCGATCAAAGTGGCAATTTTTGTATTTGTAGTCTCTACGAGACAAGCGGTTTCATCCATGTAACTTTGGCCTTAGGCGGGTACACTTCGCACCACTTCCTGCCCTCAGGGTTTCACCACGCTTACAGATCTGGGCATAAAGATTGAATCGCTGATGTTACTCACGCATGCTAGGAACACATGGTATGCCGCTATTCATAATATCACCGCTGCTATGCAGCGGTTCGTTAGGCTTTTTCGCCTCTATATTGTCTTTTTTTTTTTCTATATTTATCTCTCTATATATATCCAATGAGTGAGCTGGAAAGAACAAACGTCTTTGTTTATTGTTATACTTTTAGCTCCTCACAGGTATGGGCAGAAATGGACACCAAGATCGGTTCGCAATGACCTACCTCATATGGACTCACCATGTAATCCTGTATCTAACCAACAAACTTGCACCAGCGTAGTTTGCCTATTTTCAAAGCCACATCGCTAAAGTCACTGAATTCAAAAGGTCGTTCACATAGAGATGTAAGAGAAGAAAAGAGAAGGAAGGACAGGAGAGTAAAGTGAAGGAAGAGTTATGGCAGCGAGCAGGGACACAGACCCTCTTACTCAGAGGATACACACACACATAATGTAGCTGGATAGATCTCACTACATAGAGAATTAAAGAAAGTGCATCAAAGACTGTTACATCCAGCTGGGCGCGGGTGGCTCATGCCTGTATCCCAGCAATTTTCGGGAGGCTTGAATAGGCCAGATCTGCGGAGGTCAGGAGTTCAAAGACTCAGCGCTGGCCAACATGGTGAAGACGTCATATCTGCGGAAAAAACAAAGAAACCAGCATGGTGGCATAGTGCCTGTAATCCCAGTCTGCTCAGGAGGCTGAGGCAGGAGAGATTGATTGAACGCGGAGGCAAGTGCAGTAGCGAGGATCACGCAACTGCACGCCAGCCTGGGAGGAAGTAAGGCTCCATCTGGGGGAAAGCAAAAAAAAAAAGACTGCTTACGATCCATGCCCAGTTAGAAGAGCAACAGGGCACGAGAAAAGCTCCATCTCGAACAGTCATAGCTTTGCAAATAGCCTGTGAAGAAGGTTTAAGCATTCTGTTGCTAACAGTAAGCAGGTGACCTAAAGTATGAAAGATAAGCTGGCGTGGGTGAAGGGGCCGGGCTCTAACATGCCTGGGAAGAACAGGTAGATGCTGACCAGTATAATCTTTGGGCTAGTGGGCAAACATAAATAGCTGCGTTTGAGGAGAAACCTGAGGACAGCCATTAACAGGATCACTGTTCCCTTGTGTAGATGGACTCGCTAACTGAACATTGCCTCCAACATTGCAGTTGTGTTAGCAAGCGCTCCCAAAGTGCTGAGATCACAGGTGTGAGCCACTATGCCTGGCCCACCTTTCTCTTTTACAAAGGGACTCCACCACCTGCCTTCAGCCCAGAGTCAGTTTTAGTGAAACATTCACCAGATCTTCCTCCACTGCCACTTGGAGGAGCCCAGAGCCCTGGACTGTGGTTAAGTTGAAGTGGAGTTGAACTAAAGGAGAATAATATTCAGAACAGCCATGTAGCCCTTGGGCTGAGATACTGTGGGACGTCAGAGCTGGAAGAGACTCTGAGGTTCACGCACTCCACATCTCCCTCATTGTACCCCTGAGAAAACTGAGAGCCCACAGAGTGAAAGGGCTCACCCAGGTCACACTGCTGGAGGGGAGGAGCAGGCTAGAACCCAGGTTCTCTGTCTCTCTACTGACTTTGCCACTCCATTTGTTTTCCTGTTTGAGAAGCAGAAGAGGCTAAAGTTATATGGGCCTGGGTGCAGTGGCTCACGCCTGTCATCCCAGCACTTTGTGAGGCCAAGGCGGGTGGATCGCCTGAGGTCAGGAGTTCAAGACCTGCCTGGCCAACATGGTGAAACCCCATCTCTACTAAAAATACAAAAATTAACCGGGTGTTGTGGCGGGCACCTGTAGTCCCAGCTACTCAGGAGGCTGAGGAAGGAGAACTGCTTGAACCTGGGAGGTGGAGGTTGCAGTGAACCAAGATGGTGCCATTGCACTCCAACCTGTGTGACAGGAGCAAGACTCCATCTCAAAAAACAAGTTACCTGGGAGCAGGAGAAGGAAGCCATCGCCTCTGGTTCTCCAACTGTTAAATGGGAATAATGATGCTTTCCTGCCAACTCCCCTGCTTTTTCATGAAGCCTGAATGAGGGAATAGTGGGGAGGTGACAGCAGTGGCAGAATCATCTTCCTGGTGGCAACAGGACCCAGAGCGGAGGAGATGGTGAAAGAGCTGAGGGCGGGCAGCGCAGATGGGCTCAGAAGAGGTGGGTTCACCTTGTCGTCCTCCCTAGGTGGGGCCCAGGCCTGGGTTGCCATGGATACCGTGTCCCTGGAGCATCAGATCCAGAGCGTGCAACGCCACATCAGCTTCCTGAAAAAGGAGCAGATGGCCCTGCTGCGAGACCTGCACCTGGAGATCCTGAGGCTGCAGAAACGCTGCTCAGGTGAGGCCAGGAGAGGCAGCCCCAGCCCTCCAGCTGGAGATTTTTTCCTTATCAGTTCCTTTAAGTACATACTTTTTTATCAACTTGAAAACCTTCCAATGAGCTTTTGATTCCGGATGCTTCAGGCCTTTGCCGTGCTCTTCCCTCATCTGGAATGTTCTCTTTACTCCTTCTCCCATCGTGATATCCCGTGCAATGGTCCACATGGTGTTATGCAGCCCTCCAGGGAGCTGAAGCACCTCCTCCTCTGGGGAGCCCTCCAGAATGCTGGACCTCCTCTTCAGCACCTGCTCCTCAAGCTGAACACTGCTCCTCCTGCCCATGAGCTCGCTTGATTACTGCTCTACCCCTTAAAATCCAGTTAGTATGACCTGTTATGTGCTCCCTAGCAGAACGAGGGCGGGAGTTGCTTGGGTGAAACGCGTGGGAACTTGAAAGGATGGGAACCTCTGGGAATTGCGTTTTTCCTAGGAGTTTCTCCACTACTAACCAGAAGCTTTTTTTTTTTTTTTTTCTTTTTTTTTTTTGAGACAGAGTCCTTTGTCAATCTGTCGCCCAGGCTGGGTGCATTGGGTGGCGCTCACTTACTACAACCTCTGCCTCCTGGCTGTCAAGGCGATTCCTCTGCTATCAGCCTCCTGAGTAGCTGGGAACTACAGGCACCGCCACCATACAACCTCGTTTAATTTTTTTGTATTAATAGTAGAGATGGGATTTCACCATGTCGTCCAGGAATGGTCTTGATCTCCTCCCTCGACCTCATATCTGCCCACCGGCGGCCTCAGCCTCCAAAGTGCTGGGATTTACAGGCGTGAGGCCAACACCCCGCGCCGGCCCCTAAAACCAGAAGCTCTTTGCCCTGAAACTCTTCAGGTGTTTCTAGAAGTTTCCAACTTCTCTGTTCCATCTCACCTCACCAACGTCCCCAGTTTCCTTATTCCAAAAAAAAAGCGGAGAAGGGGGGGAGGGGGGGGGGGGGGGGGACGGCAGGCGAAGTTGGGGTGGGCAGTGTAGGCTCACGGGGCTGTTGGTCGGGGCACAGCCCAGAGACCCGTGGGTTGGTGATGATGACAGCAACCCTCCCCCACCTTTCA